ATTGTCCGCGCCGCCCGGGGCCCACCCCGCCTGGCCTGCGAGGCGGGTGTTGCCTCCTGTTTCCTCCGCTTGGCAAGTGGTAGGTCTGGGATTGGAACCCAATTCGCTAAGGAACCATGTTCTTTCCTCCATTCCGCTTGGGGACATTTTAACCAGCAATGAAACCTTATTTCTAGGTAATTACTTTCTCTATTTTTATTTACTATATTTTTATTGATTTCAGAGAGGGAGGGAGAGAGAGAAACATCAATGATGAAAGAGAATCATTGATCGGCTGCCGCCTGCAGGCCCCACACCTGGATGGAGCCCACAGCCCGGGAATCAACCGCTGACCAGCCGGTGACCTCCTGGTTCATAAGTCCATGCTCAACTCCGGAGCCCCACCCGCCAGGTGGTAATTCTTTCTTTAAAGGATGCTTGTAGATAGAGACTTGGAATCTTTTATCAGAGAATGCTCCTGCTCCTGGGCCTCTACTTGGGGTTAAGTGGGGCAGTGTGGAGGGGAGAGCTACACTGGGTTTGGCCAGTGCAAAACCCTGTTAAAAAACAGACAGCTAGTCCCAAATGGAGTCATTTGCGCCAAGCCCATGTCTCAAACTAAGACTTAATACTTAACCTAATTGCAGTTTCACTTTCTCCCTGGAATGTCACCTTTAGCCATTCCGCCCGGGGTTACCTGATAGACCCCTTCCGTGTGGCTTAGGAGGGCGACCTTGTCTACAACAATGTTCTTAGCCAATAATTTCCTTTTCCCACCCCTTTCCACCTTTAAAACCATTTCTTTTCTGCAGCTGGGCTGAGCTATTTGCTGGATGGGATGCTGCCCAATTCATGAATCAGTGAATAAAGCCAATTAGATCTTTACATTTACTCAGTCGAATTTTGTGTGTGGTTTTTGTAACACCCTGCTCTAAAGCAGGAAGTCTGGCTGGGGGGAGAGTGACACTCCCGCAGGAGACTGTCTTGCACGGGGATGGTTCCTCCTGGGCTGTGGGTCTCCTTTCAGAAAGCAGGTCTTATCACCCTGTTGGTCCTCCTGGAGGTCCCAGCTTAGGAAAGCCAGCAGAGAAATAAAAGAACAATCTCCGTTTATTAAACATGGTTTTTCAGTTTCACCACACACTCCAGAAAAAAAGGAAATGGGGCTGGGAGTGGAGAAAAAGGGACGGCGGTAGGGGTAGAGAAGGCTGGGAGGGGGGTTGGGTAGGGAGGGAAAATGAGAAAACAAAATAAAACCGGTAGGGAGATGCGTCTCCCTACCCTTAGGGTGGTGGGTGGGGAGGGTAGCATGGGGGAGGGGGCTAGGAAGCTCTGTACACAGGGGTTGCCCCCAGCCCCCACACACACACCCCAGATATGTACAGTACAAACCCCAGATAATTACAACAGCCAAATAAGAGGAGAAAGGGGGGTCCCAGGTAGGGTCTGAGGTTGGGAAAGCAAGGAAAGGGCACAGGGATAAAATTTCACATATTTACAACTTTTATATAAGTATAAATTTGGCCCCGGCTGGGTGTATGTGATTAGGGGGAGGGGACTGAAGGGGGACTGTCCATACAAAAGAAAGAAGGGTGGAGTCTGCGAAGTCTCAATACCAAACGCAAGAAGGGATGAGGGGGCAAGGCTGGGTAGGGGATAGCAGTCAAGGAAGAGGGGTGTCAAGAAGGGGGTTCTCCCCTCTCATGACCTACCCACCCCAAACCCCATCCATCCTACCTCCCCTATCCCGCCAGAGAGCTATGTACAGAGAAACACCGAAAAATTGTGGAGCTGGCGGGAGGGAGGGAGGTGGAGGGAGATTGGGAGGGGGGGAGAAGAGAGGGTAGCCCAGCCCTGTCCTACCTCCCCCAGGGGACAGAGTCATGGAAAGAGGCCCCCAACACCCCTCTACCACACAGGTCCCCCCACCCTGGGGGAGAGAGACATGGCTTTTCCTAGAGTAAGTTCCCCCGTCCCCCTGGGAGTAGAGACCATGAAGAGAGAGGGGAGGGGCAGGGGGGGCTGTGTGTCATGGTAGGGCAGATCAGCTAGTCTGTCCTCCCCAACATACACACCCTCCTAAACCCTAACCCCTCACCCTAACCTCAATTCCACCCCACCCAACACACTGGGGGAGGGGGGGGCATCAGCCCCCTCACCCCGCTCTGGGACCAGCCAAGAGCAGATCAGGTGTGGGAGGAAGGGGAGACAACTCCCATTCCCCCCTTGCCGCCCCCACCCTGCCCCGGTGGCCCCTCCACCCCATCTGGGTTCTGGGTGGGGAGGGAGTAAATTTAAGAGTGGTAGGATGAGAAGGAGTTTGTGCGTGCTGAGCCCCCCCAGACGCTCCTGAGAAATCAAGGGGTAGGGCCCCCTCACCCGGGGTCCCCTCCCCATAACAAGGGGGACAGGGGAGGCCAAAATGGGGCAATGGAGGGGAGTTAGATTGTCAGCTCTGGTTACTGCTAAAAAATCACCCTGAAGTTGAAAGTTTGGAGGTGCCCCACCCCCAGGGTGGGGGCGAGGGTCTGTCCCCCAGTGCTCAGGGGAACGATGAGGCAGAGGATGGGGATAGCACCCCGGAGTGAAGGGGTCAGTGTGGGGTAGGTGGTGTCCTGGGGCAAGGGTCCTCGGGGATCACAGGAGGCAGCACCCCAACAGGAAGGAAAGAGGGGCAGCTCAGGGTCCCCGCTCTCCCTCCTGGAAACGGTGCAGTGGGGGTGGGGGACTGGTGCCCCCAGGAAGCATTCAGGGAGGCAGTCCCGCTGTCCTTCGGCGACGTCCAGTCCCGGCGGTCGGTGCTGTCCGGGGTGGGGTGATGGGCAAGGAGGTCTGTGATGCTGGGTGGGCTAGTGGTCTGCGGTGTTTCGGAACTCGCCGTTCTCGGTGATCTGCAGCCGGGGTGGGGGGGGCGGGACTGGGGGGGCCAGGCCGTTCCAAGGTGGGGCCAGCGTCACACGCGGGTTTGTTGGACCCAAGGGGGGAAGCTGCCTCTCCTGCAAGACACCAAAGAGGAGAGCGCGGACTTATTGAGACGCATCGCAGTGGCCTGGGTGCCAGCCCCCTCGCAGTGGCCTCCCCCAAAGCCAGCCCACGCCATAGGCCACGCCCCTCCTCTTCCCCCAGGACCACCGCACACCCCCTCCTGTTTCATTTCTCACCTTCAGTAGAAGTTACTTCTTCTGGGATCAGGGAGAAGGAATCTTACCCCAGACTCCTAATCGGGCCTTCAACCCAGGAGTCACAGCAGGACACCAGTTCAAAAGCAAGTTCCTCCCCCTCGCCCACCCCTTGTTCCTCCTGCCCAGCCCACCTCCTCCTCTGGGAGCCTTCTCCCAGCCCACCCCCATCCAAGGTAGGAACTTTGTGTTGAGGGAACAAGGGGAGGCAGTACAGCAAAACCTCATTAATCCAAACCCCCATGGATTTGGAATTTTTTCATAATTTGAATAAAAACTGGGCTTGAGTTTTCCTTTATCTATGAAGAAAGGGTGTGCTAAGCAAATTAATAGTGGCAATGTGTCTGTGGGAGGAATATTTAACCTATACCAGAAAACAGACTTTTCAGTCCTATCTATTCATTAACGCATGCTCCCTGAGGGCGCGAGGAGAAAAGCCTATTCATTGAAGTTTACTTACTGTATATATTTGAAGACATGCATTTCATTAAATAGACACTGTCATTCAGTTTTGTCACTTATTCAGAGTAGCCATCTTCTCAAATATAACATTCCAAATTAGAGAGGTTTAACTGTACTGGGGGGAAAGGAAGGGGATTCAGGGAAGTGACGTGGGAGGGCTGCCTCTCTCTCTCTCTCTCTCCCTCTCTCTCCCTCTCTCTCTAACCACAACAGCCTGGGAGCCCTGCGGACACAGCAGGCCCCAACCTCTGCAGCCACAGGAAGCGCACAGGCTTCATTCCTTCCCACCCCCGCGTTCCTTTCACTCCCTCTCCCTGGGCTCCCATTAAAGGTGAGGGTACCAGACCCTACCCCATCCGTGGTCCTGTATCCCCCCTGCTGCTCGGCCCAGCTCCTGCCCTCCGCTGGGAGAGGAGAAGGCAACCATCGGCACTAGGCTTCTGGTTGCTCACTTGCCTTACAAATACGGGCACAGGGTAACCCGCTTTGGGCCCCTGCCTCCTGCCCTCTTGCAGCAGGAAGTCTATCTGTCCCCCAATAAATTTTGTTTCCGCCAACCGAAAAATAAAATACAGGCGCAGAATTAACTTTTAAATTAATGGCTGAGTTGTAGAGCGGACAATGCCTAAAAGTGCTTTAGCAAAAGCTTCCCAATTATTTCCTGGGCCACAGGCTCGGCCCAGTTACGTCTGACCTTCTCTCTAAAGGATACAACATCCTCCCAGGTAGAAGCTCCCAACTCAGCTCTCCCTCCCAAATCAAAGACTCCCCTCTCAGAAGCCACCAAACCCCCAGCCACAAACAAAGCTGCCTCACTCGCTTCCCACAGTCAGCAAGGGAGGGAATGGCGGCGGCAGGGAAAGAAGAAACCTTAGATGCCGTCCCTCTGCGTGGCTGCCGGGCATGCCCCCACGCCCCCATGGACCCCATTTAGAAAGTAGATAAATTGGGGTGCCATTATTCATTTTCCAAAGGAATTCGCTGCAGGAGCCCTTTCCATGACGAGGTCCCCAGTGCCTTTCAGCGTCTGTTTACAGACCACTAAGACTTGGACAGAGGCTGGGCAGGCAGAGGTAAAGTGACAGTGCGAGGAGCCACTGCCTGCCACAGAGCAAGCCCACAGAAAATAAGGCGCTCAGAAATGAGGTCAGTGGCCGACGGGTTCCCTTGACTAGTTTTTTATGTAGGATTGTGTCTGCAAGGCCACTGGGTGGCGGGAGAGGGGGAGCGAGTGGCATTAGCCACCTGGGATGTGAGCTCTGATGGGAAGAACAGAGGTTATTTAACATGCTGCTCCTGGCACCCCTGTCTGGGAAGCAACATGGCCACGGAGCCCATGATCTTATCGAGAAGCGGTCTCAGCCCACTGCCAGCTGCCATGCCACTCGGGCCAGTCGGCGTGCTCACACCTGTCATGGCTCCTTGCTCCTCCTTCTCCACTCACCCTGCCTACTGCCCTGACATCTGAACAGAAGTCTTTCCAGGCCCCCCAGGGCCTCCCCGAGTTAACGAGCTCCTCCTAATTCCCACCTAATAGGGCTGCATAGGAGCCCAGATGCCTTCTACCTCACAGATGCAAGGAGAAGGAGGAGAGAGAAGTGGGTGAGAGGTGGAAGGAAGGAGGGTAGAGAACGAAGGTTAGGTAAGGAAGAGGAAACCCCAACCTACCTGCTGTGGTCAGAACAGCCCCTCTAGCAAGGGTGCCCCAACCCATCATCACCACTCCCCGATAACAAGCCCCACCCCCAAGGACGCTCTGGTGAAATGGGGGGTGACAGACATACACTGGAGAGGAAGAGGAAGAGGCTGACAGGAGGAGGCTGGGATGGGTTCTGTGGGAAGGGAGTGTGGTCTGGCAATGCACGGCCTCCAGGGTTGATGCCTGGCACTTGAAGGAATCACCTAGCGACCGGGAGGCAGCGGGAAGCTCTCTCTCTGGGCAGCGCCTCGGGAGATGGTCTATGCAGAAGGTGCCAGGGCAGGGTCTGTGGAGTGCGCAGGTGCGGGCAGCAGTGAGGGGGAGGCTGTGGAGAGGCGGAGGGGAGTGGGCTTCGGGAGTGACCAACCTGCAGTGGTCCGGAGTCACCTCCCCCTGTGTCCTCCGCCCGTGGTCAAAGAGCAACCCGGAGAACTACCTGATGAGGAGCTGCAGGGGGAGAGAGTGGGGTCATGGGGTCAGGAGCCTGGGAGGGTGGGAAGCCTGGCCGGCGGAGCAGGAGGAAGAGCGTGGTGGGAAAGTGAGCAGACTTG